CCCCAAAACCCCAAAACCCCAAAACCCCATAAAGCATTAAACTTTATTTAATTGAAATATATTGGTCTTAAATTTATATAAAAAATAAATGAAGAAATAAACCTCAGCAAATTGTTCTTATGTATATGATACCAATAGTCCTACTGACTGGGTAACGGCAGATTTAGAACCTATATATCCTAAATAAATGAGAAGAAATTCTTGGCCAAATCCTATACCTGGCTAAAAATATTTAAAAAGTAAAAACTTCAAGAAGAATAATAGATCTCTGTAAAAAATTAGAGTATAACCCTAGGAGGATCAAAGAAAACTTATAAATCAACATAGCCAAATCATATAAGATTAAAGATTTAGCAAAACTTTCATAAGAAGAAGTAGTGAGATAATCTAGCCTATTTTTGAATTTGAACCTAAGATAGACAAGTATCGATACTTTGCTTCAACATTTATGCTAATGCTAATTATCGTTGGAACCATTTAATATAGGGCAGAATACGTGCCAAAAGAAATTCGAGTTGTCTTGATTGGCTCAATGGGTAGCGGTAAAAGTACTCTTGGGAACGCCCTAGTTGGCAGAGAAGTATTTTAAACTGGATATGGATAAGGTTCATATACTTTGGAATCTATTGAGGCTAATGGCACCTTTTTTGGTCGCCCAATATCTGTAATAGATACTTAAGGTCATGATGATTCCCTTGGCAGAGATTATTATCATTCTGACCAATTACTTTAACTATTGAAGAATAAGCCTTTCGTCAATGCTTTCATCTATTTACTTGTACTAGAAGGTCATAGAATGAGCGATAATTCTTGGCAAAGATTGAATTTGTACCGCGATTCTTTTGTTGGTTTTACAGACTATGTAATTTTTGTTGTTAGTTTTTGGCATTATGATGATGAATCTATTAGCAGAAGATAGCAAAAAAATATGACTGATGAATATGCCATATAATAACTCTTAATTGATTTTTCAGATAGAGGTTATAAAGTACGTGAAGACTAAATATTATTTATAGATACCTTCTACAATTCTAAACATTCCCTTTAAAAAGAAAAGTTTGAAAATTCAACATATCAACTTTTTAAAATGATCACTAGCAAGGCCAAATACAATTTCTTTGAAGAAGATAAATTACTTACATAAACAAAAAGAGTCTACGAACTTAATCAAAATATCTATAAAAGATCTTAAGAATAAGAAGCTAGGAGACAAAAAAAGGCAGAATTGGAAAGACAAAAAAAAGAAGAATTGAAAAAGAAATAGGAGGAATGTGAGTAGAGTATTTACTGTAGAATGTTTGGTGGAGAAAAAGATGAAGAAAATTTGATCAATAATGATATTGATTAAAATTTGGATCTCTGAAAGGCAAATATAACTATTAATGGAATTCTATTTTATTTATTTTGATAAAAATTTAGATCTAGTTCAAACTTGGGGTTGAATAATTTCTCTTTGGGGTTTTGGGGTTTTGGGGTTTTGGGG